CTGGCACCACCGACTTGGTCACCCGTCAGTGCAGCGCCTTCGGGGCATGCACTCCCGGTACCTTGTCTCTGGTCTTCCTCGGGTACTCCCTCCCCTCCCACCCTCCCTTGCTCCACCTTGTCTTCCCTGTGTCGAGGGGCGGCAACGCGCTGCCCCTCACTCGTCCTCGTTCCCCCCGACGACAGCTCCTTTGCAGACGCTCCACATGGACGTGTGGGGCCCAGCCCGCGTCCGTGGTCAGGGCCAGGAGAGGTACTTCTTGATCGTCGTTGACGACTACTCGCGCTACACCACGGTCTTCCCCTTGCGCACCAAGGGTGAAGTCCCTGATGTTGTGATCCCTTGGAACAGCAGAGCACGTCTTCAGCTGCGAGAGCGTTTTTGCTCGGAGTTTCCTGTCCTGCGCTTGCACTCTGACAGAGGTGGCGAGTTCTCCTCCGACCTCTTGGCAGCCTACTGTGCCGAGCACGGCATTCGCCAGTCGTTCACGCTTCCGGCCTCTCCACAGCAGAATGGGGTTGCTGAGCGCCGCATTGGCTTGGTCATGGAGGTCGCTCGTACCTCCTTAGTCCACGCGGCTGCCCCCCACTTTCTGTGGCCGTTTGCGGTCCGGTACGCTGCGCATCAGCTCAACCTCTGGCCCCGTGTCTCCGCTCCGGAGACCTCGCCCACACTGCTGTGGACGGGGGAGGTTGGCGATGCGTCACGCTTCCGTGTCTGGGGATCCCGAGCTTTTGTTCGCAACACGTCTGCGGACAAGCTCTCCTCCCGCACTGCTCCCTGTGTCTTTCTTGGCTTTGTCCCGGATGCGTCTGGCTGGCAGTTTTACCACCCCGCCTTGCACCGCGTCTTCCCCTCTCAGGACGTTACTTTTGACGAGTCCGTGCCCTTCTACCGCCTCTTCCCCTACCGCACTGCCCCGCTCCCTCCCCCGCCTCTCTTCCTCGCGCCAGGTGCTGCAGTGGTAGACCCCCTTCCGCCTCAGGGTGCCGCTCCCTCAGGTGTCTCTCAGGTAGACCCGGTTGAGCCTGCCAAGGTAGCTGTCGACTCGCGTCCTGCTAGAGGTGCTGAGCCTGAGCGTGCGGAGCCTGAGCGTGCGGAGCCTGAGCGGGTGGAGCCTGGGGGTGCTGAGTCTGGGAGTGCTGAGTCTGGGGGTGCTGAGACTGGGGGTGCTGAGCCTGGGGGTGCTGGGTCTGGGGGTACTGAGCCTGGCGTTGCTGAGTCTGGGGGTGCTGAGCCTGGTGGTGTTGCAGTTGACTGTGAGGCGCCTGGAGGACCTCCCTCTTCGCAGCAGCTACGTGAGTGGTACTCACGGTACTGCAGCCTCCGGCAGGGTACGTCTCGGGCTCGTGGTGCTACTGGAGTTGGTACTCGTGTTTCCCCACCACGGCGGGAGCCGCCCTCTTCCCCACAGCTTCGAGAGTGGTACGCTCGGCACATCAGTCTCCGGAGTGGAGCTGCTGGTGCTGGGGTCCCCGGAGTTGACGCTGCTGCGGGTGCTGCTGACCCTGGTGCTGGAGGTGCTGCTGCTGCTGGCGGTGCTGCTAGAGGTGCTGCTCGTACTGAGGACCCGGGCGTTGGAGCTGCTGTGGGTGCTGCGGACCCTGCTACTGGAGGTGGTGCTGCTGCTGGAGGTGCTGCTGGAGGTGCTGCTGCAGCCGCTGGAGTGGGGGACCCGGAGGGTGGAGCTTCTGCTGGTGCTGAGGACCCTGCCGCTGGTGTCTCTGCTGGTTCGGGAGTTGCTGCACGGCCACGGCCGTACTTCGTTCCGCTCCTTCAGCAGGTTCTTGGTCAGACTCCTCCTCCTTGTCCTCCTCTCGCCTTAGAGTGTCCGCCGTCTGTCCAGTCACAGCCACAGTTACCGCCTGCCTCCCCACTCCCTGTGCCTACTCCTTACACTGGTCCGACTGGAGGTCTTGCTGAGAGACGTGAGCCTGCGTCACGTCCTGTGTCACCTGCGTCTCGTCGAGCGTCGCCTGTTCGTGCTGCTACCACTGTTAGTCGTGTCCAGCGTCAGCGTCCTCCTGTTGTCCCAGGCACTCACCAGATGGCGCTTCGTCAGTCCACTGCTCCACAGCGTGTCGCTCTCCCGTCGCCTCCTGCGTCCTCTCTTCCTGCTCTTGCTGACCCGGAGTCAGACACCCTTCGCGCTGCCAGTCCTACGGTCACACGTCTCCTGGCTACAGTTGTCACTGACCCTTCCTTTGAGTCCGCTGCTGCGTCTGCCTTAGTCACTGAGCTTGTCGACTTTGCAGCTGCGTGTCGTCTAGACTACGCTGCGAGTCTTGTTGCTGAGTCTGAGTCTGTCTGTCCTCCGTCCGTCGGGGGTGAGTGTGCTCTTGGCACGGACGTTCTTGAGGACAGACAGGAGGAGTTTGGTTGCCTTGCCGCTGCTTTGCTCCATCTCGTGTCCATGCTTGTTGCCCCTGAGGGAGACCCGGATGCATCAGACATCCCGACCCCACGCTCTTACGCAGAGGCGATGGCCGGTCCCTACTCCTCTCAGTGGCAGTCAGCCATGGACACAGAGATGGCTTCCTGGAAGTCCACTGGCACCTACGTCGACGAGGTTCCCCCACCTGGGGCGAACATCGTTAGTGGCATGTGGATTTTCAGGGTGAAGCGGCCGCCGGGCTCTCCGCCTGTCTTCAAGGCGCGTTACGTTGCACGAGGCTTCAGTCAGCGAGAGGGAGTTGACTTCTTCCAGACCTTCTCCCCGACCCCAAAGATGACCACTCTTCGGGTTCTGCTACACGTCGCCGCTCAGCGTGACTACGAGCTCCACTCTCTTGACTTCAGCACAGCTTTCTTGCAGGGCAGCCTGCACGAGGAGATCTGGCTGCGCCGCTCACCTGGCTTCACTGGGTCGTTCCCTCCTGGTACCCAGTGGAGCCTTAGGCGGCCAGTCTACGGTCTCCGCCAGGCGCCACGTGAGTGGCACGACACACTGAGGACTACACTTGCGGCTCTTGGGTTCGCTCCTTCTACTGCTGACCCGTCGCTGTTTCTACGCACCGACGCCTCACTGCCGCCGTTCTACATCCTTGTGTACGTCGACGACTTGGTCTTTGCCACTTCTGACAGAGCTGGTCTCGCTCACGTGAAGTCCGAGCTGCAGAAGAGACACACGTGCACAGACCTGGGTGAACTGACAAGCTATCTTGGCTTGCGGATCACCCGGGACAGAGCACGGCGCACCATCACCTTGACTCAGTCACACATGGTGCAGCAGGTCCTTCAGCGCTTCGGCTTCACGTACTCCTCGCCTCAGTCCACTCCTCTGCCTACGGGACACTCGCTCTCAGCTCTGCCTTCGGATGAGTCCGTAGAGCCGAGTGGTCCGTATCCAGAGCTTGTGGGCTGCCTCATGTACCTGATGACCTGCACTCGACCTGACCTTGCATACCCTCTCAGCATCTTAGCACGCTATGTCGCTCCCGGCCGTCACCGGAAGGAGCACATGGATGCAGCTAAGAGGGTGTTGCGCTACTTGTGCAGTACGTCGGGCATGGGGCTAGTGCTTGGAGGGCGAGACCGGCCTGTTCTCACTGGGCACTCAGACGCTTCTTGGGCAGACGACCAGGCTACTCAGCGGTCGTCTCAGGGTTACACCTTCAGTCTTGGCTCTGGCTCTGTCTCTTGGCGTTCTACTCGTTCTTCTTCTGTTCTCGGCTCGAGCTGTGAGGCTGAGATCTACGCCACGGCCATGGGTGCCCAGGAGCTTCGCTGGCTCACCTACCTGCTGACTGACCTTGGAGAGCAGCCTCGTTCTCCTCCAGTGCTGTACGTCGACAACAAGGCAACCATAGCCTTGTGTCAGGAGCACAGACTGGAGCACAGGACGAAGCACATTGCTCTGCGTTACTTTCTAGCTCGAGAGCTACAGCAGCGTGGTCAGCTTCTTCTGCGTTACGTGGCCACTGAGGCCAACACTGCTGATGTGTTCACCAAGGCGCTTCCGCCTGTTGACCATCAGCGTTTTTGCACTCTTCTAGGCCTTGTGCCGACTGTTCCTCACTTGCTTTCTTCTTGACCTTGCCTGTACTGGGATCATTATATATATACCTGCATGTTTGCCCTTGCTAGGTTGTGATCATTGTACCTCTTGCTCTGTTATAAAACTGCATGTGAACTGGTCTTGTGACCGCATACTTGTGCTCGGAATTTGTGTGGACTCCTCGAGATCCACCCTGAGCTTGTTTGCCTTGCTTTGCCTTGACTGGTCTTGTGACCCCTAGGTCTCCCCCACTTTGCCTATGGGGGTGTGTCAAACTTTATATGTTTGTGTGGTTCTAGGCTGTAGTGGGTCACACCATAGGGGGTACACTAGTTTAGGGTTTCATATTTGTACTGTTGTTCCTGCTAGTCACACACATTCCTGTTTCTCATTCTGACAATGTCCTCACCGTAAGTGTGACTTTCCTGGTTTTTTTGGTGGACAGATGTTGTTACACAAATGTGAGAAGTGACCACCAGGTGTGCGGTTTCTTTGCGCACAGGAGAACCACATCCCCAAGCAAGAGAACGGTCATGACTGTAGAGTCTTTGTTTGCCACTACTTAAAAACTTTGGTCTACTCCGACTTCGCCAACGTGAAGAGTGGCATGTGGTTCAAGGGGGTCAGCGTGCTGCAGTACCGCCGCATCATGCGCGCTGATTTATGCGCACACGCTATGGGAGAGTTGCTCCGGAAGCTAGAGGAGGATGGCTTGGATGTTCCTTCTCAGCAAAGCAGCTTGACCACCAACACGACTTTGAGGGAGGGTGCGACGGAAGGACGTGAGAAAGAAGAACATCGTATAGACCAGCTCGAGGCGGAGGTGTGCTCGTTAAAGCGCGAGGTCAGTGCGATGACTGTAGGATTCGCCGCAATTGGTAGTGTGCTTGGGATGTCGAGGGAGCAGTTGATCTCAGCAGGCGAAAACATGCTGCAGCAAACTGGCGTCGCTGTGTAAGGATCGAGGGGTATGGATGGGCGCAAGCACGGACCGCACACTCCAATGCGGCCATCAGGCTACACGAAGCAGGTGAAAGACAGCCCAGACGAGGATATGATGGGCACAAGAGTGTCGCTCGCCAGAAAATTCGTGTCGGCCGTTGGTGCGTACCCCTGTTTCCCGGCACCTCTGCCAATCCCCGGGACGGTTCCACACTGGGTGTTGTCACGGCAGCAGGCAGCTGCGGTTTCACTAGTCCAGCCATCCTATCCGGTGTATGGGATGGCGCAGAGCGGTGCGGGCGCACACCACGGCTTCATAGCTGTACCTAAGCAGGAGACATTAGCGGGAGGAGAGGAGTCGAAGGAAGATGGAGAGGGCGAGAACGAGCTAGGAACAAAGCCGACCAAGTACACAGGGGTCTATGTGGAGGCCGATAGAGGCAAGTATGGGGTGAAGGTCGTCGCAAAGGACAAGGAGGGGAAGAAGATAACGAAGAGAGTCGGCGCGTACACCACGATAGAGGAGGCAGCGTATTGCTACGCGGCAGCTGCCCACGTGCTGAGGCCTGGTAAAGGCACCCGGAACTCTGTGGCTTTAACATCGGCTAATAAGGCAGCTTTGAAGGGGTGCACTCCCGAAATCCTGAAAGTCATGGTGGATGCCCGCATGTGGTGGCGCTGGAGGTTATGGAGGGAGACTTACGAAGGTCTGATGCAGAAGGCAGCGCGCACAAAGAAGAATGCAAAGCGTGCAAAGAGGGGGAGACCGCGCAAGGGGAGTGGTGATCAGGGTGGGGGCACGGCAAGGGAGGGTGAAGGCGAGAAGGCTGGCAGTGAGGACACCGTAATCGTTGCCCACGAAGCAGAAAACAGCAGGGCGCGTAAGATGGCCCGCGGTGCAAAGGCAAAGTCCTTCGAGGACAAGACAGATGAAACTGGTCGTGGGAGGCAGAAGGATGGTGCTTGGGATATCAGTGGGAAATGAGAGTGGATCATGGGGTAGAGAAGGCTTCCCTGGAGGATGCATGTACGCATGTGTCATTTGTACTTTAAATATAGTGTGTCATTAATAGTTTGATACTGTGTTGTTTCCTCTGTTGAATGTTTAATTGGTATGAAATAGCTAGCAAGAGAAGGAACTATTGTAGCAGGACTCGGAAACAGTATCGAGAGTACGGGTGGTCGGATGAAAGTTGACGGTGATCAGTGGATGTTGTTGATTGCGTTTATCCTGATGGGCGGCAATGGTTTTGCTCGATGGTTGTGGACGTTGTTGAGCAAGGTTTACGCATTACCGTATACTTTGCAAGGTCAATCCGAGTACTTAGGCTTGCGTGCCGTGCACGCAAACAATGTCAGTCGTTAACAATGGAGACTTCCGTTGCTTTTGAAGATACTGGCAACGCGGGGCGTGCACGGCGAGTGTCCCAGCCCCCGGCGTACCTGCGCGCGGCATATCAGCTTGCAACTCCTCGTGGGCGCATGCCATGGGGGACTCGCGGAACGGCCTTGCCAAAGCGTTTGGCCATTACTAGAGCGGATGCTGGCGGGAAAGCAATTCGTGACGGTAATGACGGTTTGATGTGCTGGTTGTACGGAATGTATGACGCTGCTTTAGCGTTTTGTGGCCGTTTTGATTAAGAAAGTGTTGTGTTTCCCCCTACTTCCGCCTTGGAGCTTGTGTTGCCCGGATTTAACTGTCTCCTCCGCCTACATTCCCACGTCTACAGATAATACTGGGGGTGAGACATTGGACGCTTCTCCCGGCAGGGTCGGCAAACAAGCGCTGGTGAGTGACTCGCCCGATTCGCGTTCCAAGAGCGACGCTGCTCCTCGTATGGCGAACCGGAATCGAGGCGAGGACGTAGAAGGGGGCAAACAGGCACACATCGTGAGCAATATAAACGCATCCGAAGAGGAGGATGACGAGGATGTGGGTGACGCGATGCGCACGATGTTCGAAACCAACGCATACCGCGAGAACGATGCTGTGGACACGCATGGCGAGGAGGTGCGCGTTTCCGCGGGAGTATTCAGGAGCTTGCTTAAGTCGCAGGACGAGAGCGCGCAGAAGGTGGCCCACTTGGAAACTCTACTTTTGGAGGCGCTGGCGAAGTCCGATGGGGGGTCCCGTCGGCGCAAGGCGGAGCGGCAGAGGGATCCCGGGCAGGGATGCATGAACCCAAAGCGCCAGCATCGCGGCGAGGCAGTGGCAGACGTTGAGGAGGATGACGATAAGGAGGACGACAACGACTACGAGGACATGGCACAGATTCGCACGCGTCGGAAGCACATGCGCTCTGCGAAGTCGCCTGTTCTGCAGCGCGCACTTGATCTGCTGCCGGCCGACAAGGCTTGGAAGGTGGGATGTGCTACCAAACGTGTAACATTACTTTCGGAGCGTACGCTTTCTGCCATGCGATGGACTGTTGTGGAGCATTGTACTCATTCACAATTTCCCATGGTACCTGACTTGTGTGCAGCGCCTATGCGAGCTGGTCCGAGTGCAGCTGTTCTTGAAGAAGCCGGCCGCAACCATGACTTTCTATCCGAGCTCTGACGACAAGACTTATGGCGTTTGCGCAGTGATTGACTGCCTGCCGCATAGCTTCGCGTGCCTTGCGCTTGCCGCGGACAAGTCCCGCCGTGCTGACCTTAACACGATGCTGAGCGAGTGGAAGACAAGGGCTGCCGGACTGGTCCGGGACATTGCGCTCCCTAAGCTTGGATTCTTCTGTGATGAGCGCGACGAGGCAAGCCCGTGGGCAAGGGACAACGCACGCACGCTGGAGCAGATTCGGGAGCGCATTGGGCTCGGTGCGGAGGAGAGCGGTAAGTGGTGTTCTGGTGCTTTTAGACATTGGTGAGGGGTGCTTTTGTGGTTTTAGTCTTTAAACCCCACCATTCTATCCGCGGTGTGTACGGCAGATCTGGTGCCGAGCAACTAGTCAAACGACCGCGACGGGATGCCCTTTGCGTCTGCCGCGTTTGCGGCGTGCGCAAAGGCTGCCTTCATTCCGAAGAAGGCTGCACTGCCGCTCACTTTGAAGGTGTACCACCTTGCGTGGCTGGAGCACGTGGTGAGTGACATTGTATGACTTTGGTGGTTAGTTTGAACATGGCTGTAGTCTTACAAGGCGTGCGCCGTGTGTATTTCCTTTCAGGTGTCCGACAGCATCATGTATTGGGAGCAGAGGATGGGCCGCCTCTCTAACCCGGCCGGGTGGAACAGCCACGTCGTGAACGGGCTCAAGGTGCTTGTGAAGGGCTCCGTTTCACAGGCCATCCGTCACTTCAATCCCGAGTACGACGACGAGAAGGAGGAATGGATTTGGGGACGCCATGGCCTCCGCCTTTCTGCCTGTGGTCTTGAGAACATGAAGCCTAATGCTGGCGCTAGCGGCGGAGACGTCTCCGGGAATGTTGTGCAGTCGGTGTCAGTCGGGGGCGTGTAGAGCAGCGGGGAGGGGGAGGCCGGGATGATGGAGGGCATAGATGTGCCCTGGAGTGGGATGATGTTGGTTGTGTGTGCGCTTTTGATATTTATGTTCCGTGTTTGGGTTTTTAGGTTGCTAGAATTCCGCCTAAGTATACGGTGTTTGAAGGCAGATAGACGGTTGTGTTAAATGTATTGTGATGCTTGTTTTGTGTGGGTTTAGTGGACATGGTTTGGTGCTTTTTGTACTACACTACTGCGCGGGGATGAGAGTGTGGAAATCACCAAATGAACATAAAAACCCAAAGCGCGCGTGAAATGCGCCGCATTTGTCGCCGCGGTAGCCGGAGAGTACCTGATCGGGCAATGATTGCCGGATCCGGCCATCCAGAGAGCAACACGCGGGTTGCCGTGATTGGCGCAAAAGGTTGACGAGGCACCATATGCGGTAGATTATGAGTGCAGGTGTCGGCACGCAGTTGGCGTGTTGGAAAAAGGTGGCGTTTGTGACAGGTGTATAGGTGACGCGTGTCGTTGTAATGTTGGTTCGTTTCTATCCACCGTGGACGCCTCTCCTGATGCCGCGATTTGTGCGACGCAGGAAGTGTGGTGCAGGCGACGATGTTACACGCGGTGCGATAGGGCGACAGGGCGACACGTGCACGACGCTGGTTTTTGGGTGATGGGCGTCCTCCCTGAGCGGTCGGAACGAGGTGGTGCGACGCGTAGGAGCCGTGTGGCTTGTAGGCGCACGCATAAGCGATTGCAGGGGCAATTTCCCTAAAGTGTCTGCGATACGTGGCGGCCTTTGAGTTGTTGCTCGAGTGTTGGGCGAGGAGGATGCACGTATACAAGTGGATGGGCGACGCAGACGAGGTGACTGCGAGATGGTGTTACACGAGTACGATGACGGGTGATGAAGACATGTGGGACATGCGGGTTATGAGAAGGCGCGTGGGTGTTCTGTGTCGAGTCACGGAGTTGGTTGCACGTGGCGGGTTCGCAGTGGTGCGCGGCATTCAACGCTCGAGAAATGGACGGCCTGGATGTGGACTGTAGTCCCAAATCAATGCAACTGTGTGGGCTGGCGAAAGTGTAACTTGTAGGGCGACTTGTGGAGCACATTACACGTGAACGGTGCCGATTTGGTGTTGTGGCGCAAAATCGCGCGGCTGTGGTAGGTTCGGCAAGTCTTGGCGGTGTACGCTTACGTGGCAGGTACGGGTGTAATTGACGTACACGTGGGCACGTGTACGTCCCCGCATGTTTTGGTTGTTGGGAGGTATGTGTGATGGGTGGTGGCAGTGCAACGTTATCGTGATTGTGTGAGTTACGTGGGGGGTTACTGTATGCCATTTGTAAAGTCGCCCGGACACTTGCGTGCTGGATGCGGGAATCTGCACACCGTGTTGACAGAAAGTGACGGAAAGGTGACGATTGCAGTTACTGACACTACCACTGTTGTCGAGTCAAACTTTTTTTTTGCGTGGCGAATGCAACTGCAAAGTTACAAACGAGCCATTTTAAAGTTTTTTTTGGCACTTGCCTTTTCCGCGATGGTATAGATAATCTCCGAAGTTATAGGCGCACTTATCGGCGTTTTCTCGTTGGTCAGAGTCGAACCAGCCCGAGACCGTGTCGGGATCGGACGCAGCTTCCGCGATCTCGTGAGCAATCGTGGAAATCATCGCGTCAATAGCGGGTTTTCCGTTGGGCAAATACCGATGCACCGGGCCGCAGAGGCTTGGGCACCTATCGTGATGACCGATGAGGCCATACACGAGTGGGTTCTCGAGTTAGTGGCCCATCGAATGCCACCCGCAGTTTTTTACGCAGAAGTCAGGAACTTTCACCTCCTTGCTGGTGATAGCGAGGTAGATGCCATTGGCGTCGTAGGGGAACGGCTTTTTGGGCCCAATCTTGCTCTTGACAATTGCAAAACAATAGTAGATGATATAATGAAGGTCACAATATGCATAACGTATTAAAGCCCGCAAGAAAAACGGGTTACACACTACCAGCGAAAGGAAAGCACACTTACTTTTCAAGGGAGTGTTGCATGCAAATCTCTTCCCCATTGACCCTTTGTCGCGGGTTACCCCTGCGAGCTTCACCTACCAGGTAAAGGAAGGGAATGGACACTCTTATGGAAACTGCGGCAAAGGACCTCAGCAATTTACATCTTGTGAAGAACAATGACACACCTCCGAGCCGACAAAAGCCTTTGAACCGTCAGTTTCTTGCCCGTAGTATTTCGTTGTGGTCGCCCACCATAGACCCACTTTCGGATCCCCAGTCACACCCTGCGAGTCGGCGCTTGACAGACTCAGCGATGGAATGAAGTTCTCGATAATATTCTGCCCCGATTTCGCGGGCCATGTGCCGTAGTAGATAAGGTAAGCATTGATCGTCGAGCCGTTCATCACGGGACCGCCGTTATACGCGATGGGAAGGATAGTGTCCGCCATGAGTCCGGCCTGGTTGCGTCTTTTCTCGCGGCACTTGTAGAAGCTGGACTTCGTTTTGAGAATGTGCAGCGGAGCTTGAGAGTCGCGCCGGTCGGCGACGTGAATCAGCTTTTGCCGCTCATCGCCGCTCAGCTGTCGCTGACGGAGAAACTCGTCGTGTGCCTGCCGCGTGCGAGCGACACGGCGCACCGGGCCGGCGAATGCGGGTGGGAACATCAAGGGGCAGACGAGTATGAACACCGAGAAAACAAACAGAGAATTGAGAATCTTCGCCATGGCTAGAGACAGCAAGGATTGTCACTGACAGGTACTAAAATAGTATTTCATCCTAAAAATACTGAAGGGAAGGGGGTAAGTGAGAGGGGGAGGGAGCGGCGAGGGTGCGGATCGGTTGGTGCGTTGAATCCCAGACCACGCGCTTGTTTAGGTGGCCACTTTCTCAACCTCCTGACGCGGAAGTACAGTATCAGGCAGGTTGCTTTTTGTGCTATCCGATTTGTCTGATTTAGCCATACCAAACCGTCTCTGAACACTCTAAACCATGCTGTTCAGCACCGCCTGTTCTTAAAACCGAAGCCATACTAGCGAGGGACAGGGCGTAACCGTCTTTGCGGGTTCGAGATTCGAGAATGCTCGGACGTGGGCCCTGCGAGGGCGCGCCGCAAAAGTTCGTATTCCCTATTTATGTAGAGAATATATATGTAACATATAACACCGTATTCAACCGCACTTAACTCTGGCAAGAAAGGGTGCGGTAACAAGGTTTTGTGTGAGATAGAATGAACCCATTCTAGACCAAAGTGATATCAGGCTGACCAATCGGGACAGCGCATACACAGTCCACCCCAGATTGCGCGTGCACACGCGGAGTGAGGCGGACTGTACAGTGCACGCGTTTGTAGCCCCATGTACAGTAACCAACGTCATCATCATTTCTACTTCAATTGTGTTACACGCATCGGCTTCTTCCTTCTCCAGCCACAACCACCACAAACACGCATCGGTTCCGTAGTGCCGTTAGTGTTTTAGGCTATCGGCTAACCATTCGCTAAACGTTGGACGAAGAAGTGTCATACTTGTGAAACAATCATCTTAGAGTGGGGCGCAATCTGACCAGAAACCCGAGTTTCTACTAAGTATAGGCCCCACCCTATCACATTCTGGGGGTTTTCGACCTGACCTCCATATTCGTCCAGACGGAGCGACAGCTCTGTTCACCAAGGGAGATGGTACACCATACAGTACAAATGTGAACAGAGCTGTTGAGAAAATGTGAACGAGAATGAATGACTAAGGAATGGAAGTGATACAAATATGCAACCCTAGAAATGTGTACCCCATATAGGCTACCCCACTATAGCCTACACAATATGATAATTTGACACACCCCCATAGGCAAAGTGGGGGAGAACAAGGGGTCACAAGACCAGTCAAGCAAAGCAGACAAAGCTCAGGGTGGATCACAACGTCACCACACAGTCCGAGCACAAGGTCAAGGCCACAAGGCCAGTTCACATGCAGGAGTACAGACATATATATATAAGGCTAAACAAGCAAGAGCAGGTATATATATATGTAAGAGTACAAGCAAGGTCAAGGGGTGAGCAAGTGAGGCAAGACAGGCACAAGACCCAACTGGGTGCAGAAGCGCTGATGATCACAAGGCGGAAGTGCCTTGGTGAAAACATCAGCAGTGTTGGCCTCAGAGGCCACATACGCAAGTCGCAACTGACCACGCTGCTGCAACTCACGAGCAAGAAAGTAGCGGAGAGCAATGTGCTTCGTTCTGTGCTCCAGGCGCTGCTCCCGACACAAGGCTAGCATGGCCTTGTTGTCTACGTACAGCACCGGAGGAGAACAAGGCGGCTCTCCGAGGTCAGTCAGCAGGTAGGTAAGCCAGCGAAGCTCCTGTGCAGCCATGGCCCTGGCGTAGATCTCAGCCTCACAACTGGAGCCGAGAACAGAAGACGAGCGAGTAGCCCGCCACGAAATAGAGCCGGAACCAAGGCTGAAGCTGTAACCCTGTGACGACCGCTGCGTAGCCTGGTCGTCTGCCCAAGAAGCGTCCGCGTGCCCAGTGAGGACCACTGGACTCCGCCCTCCGAGCACTAGCCCCATGCCCGACGTACTGCACAAGTAGCGCAACACCCTCTTCGCTGCAGCCATGTGCTATGGTCGGTGTCTCCCAGGAGCAACATAGCGTGCAAGAATGCTAAGAGGGTATGCAAGGTCAGGTCGTGTGCAGGTCATCAGGTACATGAGGCAGCCAACAAGCTCTGGGTACGGGCCACTCGACTCTACGGACTCATCCGAAGGCAGAGCTGAGAGCGAGTGGCGAGTAGGCAGAGGAGTGGCCTGAGGCGAGGAGTACGTGAAGCTGAAGGGCTGAAGGACCTGCTGCACCATGTGTGACTGAGTCAGGGTAATGGTGCGGCGTGCTCTGTCCCGGGTGATCTGCAAGCCAAGGTAGCTGCGCATTTCACCCAGGTCCGTGCACGTATGTCTCTTCTGCAGCTCGGACTTCTCGTGGGCGAGTCCAGCAGTGTCAGCTGTGGCAAAGACCAAGTCGTCGACGTACACGAGGATGTAGAACGGCGGCAGAGAGGTGTCGGTGCGTAGAAACAGCGACGGGTCAGCAGTAGAGGGAGCAAACCCAAGAACCGCAAGCGTAGTCCTCAGTGTGTCGTGCCACTCGCGCGGTGCCTGGCGAAGACCGTAGACTGGCCGTCGGAGGCTCCACTGGGTGCCAGGAGGGAAAGTCCTAGTGAAGCCAGGTGGACGACGCAACCAGATCTCCTCGTGCAGGCTACCCTGCAAGAAAGCAGTGCTGAAGTCAAGAGAGTGAAGCTCGTAGTCACGCTGAGCGGCTACGTGTAGCAGCACCCGAAGAGTGGTCATCTTCGAGGTGGGAGAGAAGGCCTGAAAGTAGTCAACTCCCTGCCGCTGACTGAAGCCACGAGCCACGTACCGCGCCTTGAAGACAGGTGGAGAGCCCGGCGGCCGCTTCACCCTGAAGATCCACATGCCACTGACGATGTTCGCCCCAGGAGGGGGAACAGCGTCAACGTAGGTGCCTGTGGACTTCCAGGAAGCCATCTCTGCATCCATAGCTGCCTGCCACTGAGAGGAGTAGGGACCCTCTACGGCCTCCGCGTAAGAGCGCGGAGTTGGGATGTCAAGTGCATCCGGGTCTCCCTCAGGGGTAAGCAGTAAGGACGCGAGATGAGGTGAAGCAGCAGCCAGACACTGGAACTCCTCCTGCCTGTTCTCAAGGACGTCCGTGCCAAGAGCACACTCACCCCCGACGGACGGAGGACAGACAGACGCACACTCAACAACAAGACTAGCAGCGTAGTCTAGACGACAGTGAGCAGCAAAGTCGACGAGCTCAGCAACAAGAGCAGACGCAGCAGTGGCAAGGAGACGCGTGACAGTAGGACTGGCAGCACGAAGAGAGTGCGACTCAGGGACGGCAAGCGCAGGAAGAGAGGACTCAGGAGGAGAGGGCAAAGGGGCACGTAGAGGAGCAGTGGACGGACGCAGAGACATCCGGTGCGTGCCAGGGACAGGGGGAGGACGGTGACACGAACTGCAACCACTAGTGCGAGCAGCACGAACAGGCGACGCAGGACGAGACGCAGGCTCACGACGCTCAGCAAGACCTCCAGTAAGACCAGTGTACGGAGAAGGAGAAGGCAGTGGGGAGGCCGGCGGTAACTGTGACTGCGACTGGACAGGCGGTGGACACTCTAAGGGAGGAGGAAGACCAAGAACCTGCTGAAGGAGCGGAACAAAGTACGGCCGAGGCCGCGCGGCGACTCCAGACACAACAGGGACAGCACCAGCACCCCCAGTGGCACCACCAGCGTCAACATCACCTCTAGCTCCAGTACCTCCAGCAACACCAGCAGCACCCGCAGCAGGACCGCCGTCAGGACTGACAGCAGTAGCCTCAGCGCCAACACCCTCAGCAGCTCCGACTCCAGTAGCACTCGCAGGACTAGCACCTCCGAGACCGGCGGCACCGGCACCCTCAGCAGCCGAAGAAGCACCAGCTCCAGTAGTACGCCTCCAGCGCTGGGAAAACCACTCGCGCAGCTCCTGTTGAGAGAGTGGCTCTCGCCGAGACGAAGCACCCGGAGAACCACCAGGCCCAGCACCGCCAGACGCCACACGAGCAGGTCCAGCGGCTGCGGGCTCAGCACCCCCAGGCTCAGTAGCTCCAGACTCAGCACCCCCAGGCTCAGCAGCTCCTGACGCAGCACCCCCAAGCGAAGGACCCCCAGGCTCAGCACCCCCAGTCGTAGCACACCCAGACTCAGCACCCCCAGGCTCAGCACCCACGCGTGCAGCACCCCCAGAGTCAGCACCCCCAGGCTCAGCACCCGCAGCAGTACCAGAGTCACCAGCAACCTCGACCGGCTCGACTGCATCTACCTGGGACACACCTGAAGGGGCAGGACCCTGAGGGGGGAGGGGGTCTACCGGGGGGGGACCTGGCACAAGGAAGTGCGGTGGCGGGGGGAGGGAAGGAGTGCGGTAGGGGAAGAGGCGGTAGTAGGGTACTGACTCGTCGAACGTGACATCCTGGGAGGACAGAACACGACGAGAGGTGGGGTGGTAGAACTGCCACCCAGGGGCGTCAGGGGGGAAGCCAAGGAAGACACAGGGAGCAACACGAGGGGACAGCTTGTCCGCAGACAAGTCGCGGACAAACGCCCGAGATCCCCAGACACGGAACACAGACGCATCGCCGACCTTCCCCGTCCACAGCAAGGCTGGGGAGGTCTTCGGCCTGGAGACCCTGGGGTGAAGGTTGATCTGATGCGCCGCGTACCGAACCGCAAACGGCCACAGAAAATGGGGGGCAGCCGCATGCATCATGGACGTACGAGCGACGTCCATGACCATGCCGATGCGGCGCTCAGCAATCCCATTTTGCTGTGGAGAGTCCGGAAGCGTGAAGGTCTGGCGGATGCCTCGTGCACGACAGTAGGCTCGCAGAAGGCCAGAGGAGAACTCTCCGCCTCGGTCAGAGTGCAGACGCAGAACAGGAAAGTCCGAGCCGAAGCTACTCCTGAGCTGGAGACGAGCTGCGCGGATCCAGTCGATCAACACCTCAATGACATCACCCTTGGTGCGCAAGGGGAAGACTGAGGTGTAACGCAAGTAGTCGTCAACCACCAGCGTGAAGTAGTGCTTGTGACCCTGTCCAT